TGTCACATCACCTTTCAACACCTCGTGGAGTCAATGCCAAAAAGAATTGCTGCAGTATTGAAGGCCCAACGAAGTATTGATGGGGTGGTCATAATAATCTGGCCACTCAGAGAGAGAGAGAGAGTGTGTGTGTGTGTGTGTGTGTGTGTAATTTATCTGTTATTTTTTGTTAATCCTCACCCAAGGATATTTTCCTATTGATCTTTGTACGTGCCCTTGATCGGAATTGTACCCAGGTTTCCTTTGATCTGCAGGCCAATGCTCTATCTACCGAGCCAAACTGGCTAGGGCGTCAGAGCCATTTAAACCATGTGGAGGCCTGGGTGGTTGGATGCGGGTCCCAGTTCAGTGCGAGGGTTCTTTGGCTGGTGGTGAAAGGACCCTCTTCCTCCTTCGAAGTCCTCTCTTGGACTGGATTCCTCTCCCGGACTGGGTTCCTCTCCTGGATGGGGTCCGGCGGATGATCCCAGCCCCTGCCTCTTCTCTTCCAGGCATCATCCACGCGAGAGGGCTGGTTCGGGAGTGCTTGGCTGAGACGGAGCGGAACGCCAGGTCCTAGCCTCCGCGTCAGTGCGAAGGCTTTCCATCTTCTTCCCAGAAGTGACAGCTCATGCCCCCTATTCAGATGAAAAACTTGGCTTCAAAATGGTAACAGCTTGGTTTCTCCTCCTTGTGCCCCTCCTGGGGTTCGTCAGGCTCCGAACCTCCCGTCGCCGAGATGGAGATTTTCGCAGTTATTAGGTTTACATGTTAGTTAGGAACTACCCAGGGCGTTTTGTGTTTTTTTAAGCATTGATTTACATGATGCACGTCAGTTACCTATCACCGCAAACCGTAGTTGGCCTCCCAGATACTGGTGTTTCTCTTCTGGATGCATTTCTGTTACGTGGTTCTTTGTTTCTCTTCTGAGCTGATCCAGCTCTGAGGGTTTGTTTCAGCGAGTCCTGCGGCAGCCCTTTAGTAGCCAGTGCGTTCGCCACACACTATAAATTCTGCTCAGTGTAACTTTTTTTTTTTTTTTGCTTAAGCATTTGCATGACTATTAGTACTTTGAAATCCATCTTTAAAATGCACAAGTTATAAATACAGAAGAAAGAGCAACTTACCGAACCTCAACCTCCAACCTCGCCTGACAAGGACCCCTGAAATTTTCCCTAAGGATGTATGTAGATTTCAGTTCCGCCTTTCCCATCAGTGGATCCAAACATCTGGAAGAAAGTGACTAATACTGTTTGCATCTTTGTATGTATTTATTACTTGATGTAATAAAGCTTATTTTCATTAACAACTGGTATTAAGATGTGGGTTCATTGAATCATGGCATTTAAAAAATGTGTTTTTTTATTTTTATTTTTTATTGGTTTCAGAGAAGGGATAGAGAAAGAAACCTCAATGAGAGAGAATCATGGTTCAGCTGCCTTCTGCATGCCCCCTACTGGGGATCAAACTCACAACCCTGGCATGTGCCCTGTGAGGGAATGGAACTATGACTTCCGGGTTCCTAGGTCAAGGCTCAACCACTGAGCAACACCAGCCAAGCTCAAGTGGCATTTTTAAAAACAGCTCCTCAAGGAGAGGTGAGAGACCTGTCAAAGGTGGCATTTTCCCAGCTGACCCAGAAGCATGGTGGGAAGATGTGATTAGCACAACGGGCTGGGGGAAGCGTTTGCTGCGGTCACAGGCAGGGATGCAGCGAAGTTGCAAAGTTGTGTTGTGGTGCATTTTAATTGCAGTGAACTTCAGGGGGTGCCAGGAAAGAACGCCTGAACAGCGGTGAGAGCAGTTCCTCACTTTGCCCTTCACCCACCCCGCCCCCTGCAATTAGGACCTTCTCAGTCTAGGTGCTAATCCTGTGAGCGTTTCTGGGTGCTGCAGGAACCTGTTTTTCATGCACCGTGGCCACTTCACATGCTGCTCTGGTGCCGGATAGCGCCAGGAGGTGCTGGGCGTGTGAGAATCCGAGTGGTGGAGGGAGCTTGTACTATGAATCCCCACGGGGTGAGCACTCACTTTGGCCAGGGGTATGGGCAGTTCCGCAGGCTCGAGGCAGTCCGGCCCTTACAGGACTGGCCATAGGAAGGGTTCTAGGGAGTGAGCTTGTCTGCAGAAATGCCAAAAGGTGCAGGAAAGGAGATGGGAAGGGAAGCTTCTGTCTGCAGCTCTCCCGCCCTTACCGGCTTCTCTGTGCTGTTCCAGGTACCTTACCTGGCGGCCTTGGGGTGGAAGTTGGAGTGGGGAAGGGTCCTGCCACTGCACCCAGGGGTCTAGAGAGCCTTGTGGAGGACACCCGAGTTTCCGGACGAGGTCACTGCCTTAGGGGTCAGTTTCTTTGGCTGCAGAAATCAGGGAGGCGCTGTATCTGATGGACCTGCTCATCTCACGGGTCTTCCCGTTAGTTTTCTACGGGAACTTGTGAAGTGTTCCAACAAGCCAGGCTATGGACCTGCCTGAACAGCCCCAAACAACGGTCAGGGCAAAGGATGGTGATGGTGTCGAACAAACTCACAAGCAAATCGGGCTTCTGGAAGCTCATCCCTTCTAGACCTGCCTGTAAATCCACCTACAGGGACGATACGCCTACTTCCTCATGGGAGAGGCCACTTGGTCGTGTGGTACAACCAGCTAGTGGGGCCAGTGCCTTATTAAACTGCATGTCTTTGCTGTCTTGTTGTTTTTAAACATATTTTTATTGATTTCAGAGAGGAAGGAAGAGGGAGTGATAGAAACATCCATGATGAAAATCATTGATCGGCTGCCTCCTCCAAGTCCCCCACTGAGGATTGAGCCCACAACCCGGGCATGTGCCCTTGACCGGAATCGAACCTGGGACCTTTCAGTTCGCAGGTCGATGCTCTGTCCACTGAGCCAAACTGGCTAGGGTGCTGTCTTGTTTTTATTCTCTTAACCTGACATTAAGCTGACCTCTAAGTATCACTGAGCAGTGACCTCCCAGTGGATGATGAGGTTACCCTACAGGTTATTAATCTCTGTCTCAATTTCACAGGTCTCCATAGAAATGGACCTTTTTAACAGTTATACTTTTTTAAAAAATATATATTTTATTGATTTTTTACAGAGAGGAAGAGAGAGGGATAGAGAGTCAGAAACATCGATGAGAGAGAAACACTGATCAGCTGCCTCCTGCACAACCCCGACTGGGGATGTGCCCGCAACCCAGGTACATGCCCCTGACCGGAATCGAACCCGGGACCCTTGAGTCCACAGGCCGACGCTCTATCCACTGAGCCAAACTGGTTAGGGCATAACAGTGACACTTTTAAAAAATAGTCCTCCTTTTCCCCCCCAACCCAAATGTACAGCGTAAAGACATAAGGCGACACCCTTCTTGATATGGCCCAGGTCCCGAAATCAAACTGCCTGCCACCTGCAGCCCCTCGGAGCTGCTGCTCACAAGGATGACCCGCCTCCGCCCCAACCCCCACAAGAAGCCACTGTCCTCCAGCAGGGACCGCCTGCATTTCTCTCAGGTTTATTTTAAGTGCATCTCTGTCCACAGTTTAATCTGCCATGTAAAACAATTCGAGGCTTTCTAAACGGCTCAAATGCTGTTTTGAAGCCCTGTAGCCCCGCGGGTGAGGGACCCCGCCTTCTTCCTCGAAGCCTCTGGGGCTCCTCACTCAGCGTCTGCTGCTCCCGCCGTGGAGCCCTTACTGGCCACCCTTCTTGATATGGCCCAGGTCCCGAAATCAAACTGCCTGCCACCTGCAGCCCCTCGGAGCTGCTGCTCACAAGGATGACCCGCCTCCGCCCCAACCCCCACAAGAAGCCACTGTCCTCCAGCAGGGACCGCCTGCATTTCTCTCAGGTTTATTTTAAGTGCATCTCTGTCCACAGTTTAATCTGCCATGTAAAACAATTCGAGGCTTTCTAAACGGCTCAAATGCTGTTTTGAAGCCCTGTAGCCCCGCGGGTGAGGGACCCCGCCTTCTTCCTCGAAGCCTCTGGGGCTCCTCACTCAGCGTCTGCTGCTCCCGCCGTGGAGCCCTTACTGGCCTCCCAGAGCCCCTTCAGCAGCCTCTTCTTCTCCAGGGTCTGCTTTGCTCTCTTTTTCCGTTCTTGCTTTTTCTTCTCTGCTTCGCGTCTTTCTCTGTAAGCGACACTGTTTTCCTCGTTGTAGAAAACGTCCACTTTCTCTTGCAGGATTTTCCGAGCCAGCTTCCTGTTCTGATCGAGGGACCTCGTCTGATGGCACTGCGGGAGGGAGAGGAGGATCGTGACCCGAGAACCGCAGGCTGGTTCTCGGGACCCCAGGACTCAGCACACGCGACCTCGTCCCTGCAGAGGGGGCGGGCCCGGGAGGCAAGGACACTGGGCACGAATCCCAGCGAAGGGGTGACAAAGCCAGGGCGTGTCCCTGGCCCACACCCATGTGGGATGTGGCTTTCACAGCGACTGTTTCTAGTTGGGAGTGTGGTTTTGTTTAGAAGCAGCGGTAGCCTTTAAATAACTTACAATCCCAAAATAATGTTGAAAACATACACTGAAATGTCTAGCTGTGGGAAGGGCATGAGCACTGTGTGTGCAAAGGTCAGCTTCTGTCCGAGAGGGAAACGGGGCTCTCCCATCAGTCGCCACAGCATTCGCATGTGATGCCTGAGCGCGGGGGCCGGGCCGGCGAAGCTGGCTGATGGGAATTCGGGGATGTCAGGGCGAGAGAACGGCACCGAGAGAGAATTTGGAGAAAGTTATATAAAACAGGTTAAACAAAAGTGATGTCAGGTTTCAGGCTGTTCCCCGTAGCTCCTGAATGACAGGGCATCCAGGGGGAAGAGCAGCGGTGGAGACAGCGATGTGCTCTCAGCGATGTGCTCTCAGCGATGTGCTCTCGGCGGGGAGAGCCGGCAGGCCTGGCGCGTGCCTTAGCCTCTGTGCCTCCCGTTCCCCACCTGTCCCCGTTCCTCACCTGTCCCGCCGGGAAGAAGGGGTGGAGGGGCCTGTGAGGACTAAGAGCTGAAGCTCGCGAGGCCCTCAGCCGTGCTGTGTCGCTAGTACCGAGGCCGGCTGTGCTCTTGGTCGTATCTCAAGGCTCGGCGGCCTCTCAGGCCTCTGGCCACACAGAGTGGATGGGCAGTCCCCCTGCACCGAGGCACCACTTCCAGGTGTGCTGGCAGCTGGGATGTGGGAGCTTGGTTTTATAGGGAAGAGAGACTCCCACAGGCAGCCGTGCGGGCAAACTTCTGAGCGCTGGGAACGGCTGATCTGATCTCATGCTCAGAGGGGTGGGTGTCACTGGCCTCAGAGGAGATGGAGGGCAGCAGCCAGGCTCTCAGGGCAGAGGATGCTCACAGACCTCGGGGCCTGCTGGCTGCCCAGGGAGGGAGCGCCCATGGCAGTGCTGCCGCCACCAGCGGCCATGCTTTTATGAGAACCCTGCTGCCTGCCAAGTTCAAGGGCAGCAAGCGCCTGGCTCCAGAGGGGCTGGGAGGAGGCTGCACGGGACGAGATGTGCCAGGCTCTGGAGAACTCAGAGAGCCCCGCCCGCTCCCCCTACCTTGACAACCAGGCCGGAGGGCACGTGCTTCAGCACCACGCAGTTGCTGGTCTTGTTGGTTGCCTGGCCCCCCGGACCGTGTCCTTTCACAAACTGCTCTTCCAGGTCACTCTCTTCCAGGGAGAGCAGGGCGGGGTGGTCCTTCTTGCCGGCCACCTGGACCCAAGGGACTCCGGCTCCCGGGGACAGCAATGCCGGCTTCTCCCTGTACCCGTGTGCCCAGGGCACGGGGCACATTCTGGTCAGCGGGGCAGGAAGGCGAAATGAGCCCAAGGTGCCCATGGACAGGGGCTCTGCTTGCCGAAGACCTGGATCGGACAAAAGAGACAGCCCTTCAGGGGGAGGCCCTGCCCCCATGTTCACGTCAAGTCCCAGTTCAGACGATGGGGACCATCTCGTAGGGAGGGTATTAGGAAGTGGGTGAAGACACATGACTCGACCGTATCCTGCCCGCTGGTAAATACTTTCTTGTAACAGACCAGAAATATCTTTTTTTAAATGGACTTAAAAATATGTATGTGTATATATACATATATGTATATTTCAGAGAGGAAGGGAGAGAGAAAGATAGAAACATCAATGATGAGAGAGAATCATTGATCAGCTGCCTCCTGCACACCCCCCACTGGGGATGGAGCCCGCAACTCAGGCATGTGCCCTGCCTGGAAATAGAACTGTGACCTCCTAGCTCATAGGTAGATGCTCAGCCATTGAGCCACGCCGGCCGGGCTGGACCAGAAATATCTCCAAGGCCCCCAGAGGTGCTGTTTTCTCAGGAAGGAGAGGGTTTGGGTGTGAAGCTCAGAACAGGCTGTGATTTGATGTGTTAAACAGCACATCAAGGCAGAAGTGGGAGCTGAGTCGGGTGACATTATTTAAATGCTGGGGAGTCTGAAATCCACACACAGGACGGTGTGCCATCGCCTGTGGCGGCTGAGCCTGGACAGTGGGACCCAGTGACTATCACTATCCATCAACGTCAGGGCTGTTGTTTTTCAATGTTTCCAGTGTCTTGGGTCTGAATAGGAACACCTGTCCCCCAGACACTCGGCCAATGATGTGATCCAACTGGTCCGCGGCGTAGGCCCACCGAACCAGCCGACTTGCCTGAAGGCGCCGGGTAGGTTCAAAACACCACGCGCGGCGTTCTGTGAGCCACGGGAGGAGGAAAAGAGCGAGGCTGTCTTCACGGAGCTCGTCATCTAGCCAGAGAGGGCCACAGTCAGAAAGAAAGTGGTATTGACAGTGCAATTAAAGAACTGCTCGGGGGCAGCGTGAGGGGGACGGCCTCAGCTGACAAGGGCAGAGGATGGCAGCCGTGAGGACACGGCGAGCCCACAGGCTCTGGTGTGTTTTTCTTTCGAGGGTCAGGGAGGCAGGAATCTGAAAGGTGTTACCTCTTCAAAGATGTGCATGTGGACGGGGGAGTCACAGCCTGGCGGCTTCTCATCTGGAGAATGGAGACCAAGCCTCGCCACCCACCCAGGCAGGCGAAGAGCCAGAGGAGAGAGTGCTCGGAGGGGCTTTTGTGGGGCCTCTGACGGCAAGAGGCTGGTTTCTAGCAAAACCCCTGTTGCCCAGGGAGAATGAGAACTCCCTGATTGGAGCCTGACCGGCACGGCTCAGTGTCTGAGCGCAGACCTATGAGCTGGGAGGTCAAGGTGTGGTTCCCCATCGGGCCACATGCCTGGGTTTTGGGCTCGATCCCTGGTCGGGGGCGTGTGGGGAGCAGCTGGTCGGTGGTTCTCTCTCATCATTAATGTTTCTGTCTCTCCCTCTCCCTTCTTCCCTGAAGTCAATAGAAATGTCTATTTTTAAAAAATTGATGAGTAGAAAAATAAAAAAAAAACCATAAAAAATGTGATGACACACACATAGAAACATCCATTGTTGTTCACTTACTGATGCATTCATTGTTGATACCTCTATGTACCGACTGGGATCGCACCCGCAACCTTGGTGCGTCGGGGTGATGCTCTAACCAGCTGAGCTACCCGCCAGTTTTGGATGAGAGTCTTCCCTTCTGTCTCTACTATTTCTACAGACAACACACTTTGCAAGGCTTACGCCAGTGCTAGTTCTCACTTCCATGACTGTGCGTGGTCCACCTCATACCGTCCGTGTGAGAAGCCTGCGTTCAGCGCGGTCAGCCGTGGGGGATAGGAAGGTGCAGTGGTGAGGGCTCCATAGCTGGGAGGAGCGTGCCACCAAACGCTACTTTACCCACTGCCTCTGTCGTGTGTGCGGTATTTCAGGAGTCTCCTCAGGAGAGAAAACGATAGACCATAAACCGGGCACTCTGCCCGATGTCGCGGCAACAAAGAACCCACCTCCTAGAAACGATTCCCTGAACGAGACCAAGTCCCTGTCCAGATGCCCCTTCCTGCTTTCAACCCGCAGGACAGGATTCCTTTATGCCTCAGACAGCGTCTGGTCCCTGGATTAGATTCCGTATGGACAGGAGCCCAGCGCCTCTCTTGGGGCTGCTCTTCCGCGAGGGAGTGAATGTGACCGGGTGGGACAACCCTGGGCAGGGCCGGTGACAAAGGAAGGAAGCGAGTGGGAGACAAAGGGCGGGAGGAGGGTGCTTTGTCAGGCCAGTGTGGGTCCCATCTCTCTCTCTGTCCCAGTTCAGAGCCACTCGCACACTGGAAGGTCTCCCCCCAACTGGGGCTCAGGAAGGTCCCCAGCACCCGGCGACTGGCTGGTTTGTGTCACAGCCAATCCCAGCAGCCAATCGGGCGAGCCCGAAGACGGCTGGTATCTACTGGGGCTCTGGCGCTACTCCAAGGACAGCTGAAAATGACAACACACCCATGGTTCCACTTCCCAAAGCTCAGTGAAGATTCCGGGTTGGATTTCAGTTTTTGTGATACCCGCAGAGCAACTCCAAATCTTCGGGGAACAGTAAGGGCAGCTGAAATCAGAGCTCACCCTGACATTAAGAAAGAAAAACAAAGGTAACAGAAGTGCCGGTAAGGGGACACCAGCCGAGGGGAGAGCTGAGCTCCGATTCCTTCCTGGGAGTGGCAGCTCCGTCCGGGCTGGCTCCCACCCTCACTTCCGGCAGCTTCAGCGCATCCCTGCTGAGTGCAGTTTGGGGCGAAGCCTCTCATTGTCCAGTCCCTTCTCACTTGGCCAAGTCAGAGATTAGAGGTGTCAGGCCTCTACAAAAGGGAATGGTCATTTGTTCAACAGTAGTTTCCAATGTCTACCAGGAGCCAGGCCTGGGCATGGGGAGCCCCAGGGGCCTGGAGCATAAAAGATAAGGTAAGATGTCCATCAGGACGGGCCGGAATTGATGACCTGCTACGGAGCTGTGGTTCTCACGCTTTTTCTATGGCCCACGTCACCTGCAGGGCCTGTGACGGGCCTTGGAACCTGCTTCTGTTAGGTGGCCCTCATCCTGACCTCACAGACGTGTCCTCAAATCGAAGTGGAGGAGCAGATGTGGAGAGGACCCAAGATGGGGCTTTAGGAAAGATGGGGGTTAAGTCCTCATCACTCAACCTGTCGGGTGCACCCCCCCCCCCACCTCGGGACCTTGTTAGAGGAGGTACTCGTCATCAGGGCCTGAGGCTCTGTATTTAAATTTTTTTTTAAATTTGATTTCAGAGAGGAAAGGAGAGGGAGAGAGAGAGAGAAACATAAATGATGAGAGAGGATCATCAACCCCACACTGGGGATGGAGCCCGCAGCCAGGACATGTGCCCTGACCGGGAATCAAACTGATCTCCTGGTTCACAGTCTGATGTTCAACTACTGAGCCACTCTGGTCGGGCGAGGCTCTGCATGTCTAACCGGCTCCCAGGGAGGCTGGACTGCTGGTCCAGGAGACGCACTTCAAGGGCCCAGGTAAGGGCTTTGAGCAAGGCTTGTCGGAGTGTCCTACCTGCAGGGTGAAAACCCCAAGATCAGGACGTTAAAGAGATGGAGGAGGTGGAAAGGAGAGCTGGGTGGAGCTACTTAGAGAAAAGAGTGAAACGATTATTGATTTGAGTTCACAGAGCAGGTGAAATGGGAACAAGGGGATGAAGAAGCTGGGTCACCTGGAGAACGGACCCCCGAAACGCTGGCTCCCATGCTTCATGTGCTAGAACCTGCTGCCTGGTACACACAGAACGCAGGCCACGGTGGAACTCTACATGCCTTAGTAGTTCCATCAAAAACAGTAAACAGCCCCTGACTGGCGTGGCTCAGTGGTTAAGCGCCGACCTATGAGGTGGGAGGTTGCTGTTTGGCTTCCTGTTGGGGCACCTAGTAGTCCCATCAAAAACAGTAAAACGGCCCCTCACTGGCGTGGCTCAGTGGTTGAGCGCCGACCTATGAGTTGGGAGGTTGCTGTTTGGCTTCCTGTTGGGGCACCTGCCTGGGTTGCAGGCTCGATCCCCGCTTGGCAGCCGATCAATGATTCTCTCTCATCATTGATGTTTCTATCACTCTCTCTCTCCCTTCCTCTCTGAAATCAATGAAAAAAATAAAAAAAGGCAGGTCTCAGAACAATGGGCAAAGACCAAGCCCAGTGAGCTTGAAAAGGCTGATTGCAACCTTGCAGCTTTAAAGTCAAAATGGCCAGCTGATGGCACCAGAGGCTCCATGAGAGGAGGATTCTGAGAAATGCTTAATGCTAATTCATGTTGCAAAGGTGAGTTTTGGGGCTCCCTGCAGAATGGGCGGTCAGATCGAGCAGCCTCCCTCTGCCTTTCCCACCGGCTCACCCTCCTGTTCTAGTTGCCTGGAACCCTTCTGAGAGCGAGCCCCTCGCAGATGGAGCCACTGGGCCGGCTCAGGCCCGAAGCAGACCCTGGCCTTTCCGTGGCTCCGTTTCCCCTGAGGATGAAGCGCCTCTCCCACAGGAAGTGTCACAGAGACTTGGTTCTCCAAGAAGACAAGCGTAACGGGTTGAGCAGGAAATGCAGTTATCATCTTGGATTTGGGGGGAAGAGGGAGAGGCTACTCTAGGTCTGGTGGAAGTTTAATAGGCTTCTCGCTGCGGTTCAAGAGGCAACAATGAAGCAGATCAAGAGAGGTTTCCCCTGAGGATGAAGTGCCTCTCCCACAGGAAGTGTCACAGAGACGTGGTTCTCCAAGAAGACAAGCGTAACAGGTTGAGCAGGAAATGCAGTTATCATCTTGGATTTGCTGTGGTTCAAGAGGCAACAATGAAGCAGATCAAGAGAAACGCTTTCCATTCATCCCATAACGCCCTGTTCAGTTTTTCTTTTAAACGTAGAGAGAGTGGGAAGGAGGGAGGGGGAAGAAAGAGAAACATCAATGTGAGAGAAACACATTGATTGGTTGCCTACTGCACGAACCCTGACCAGGGCTGGCGATGGAACCTGCAACCCAGGTACGTGCCCTTGACTGGGAATCAAACTCCCGACCCTAAATGGGCTCAAAGGCCAACACTCTAACCACTGAGCACACCAGCCTGGGCAGCTGGTCCATTTCTTAAACTAAATTGGTCCTTTCTACAGCTTGTTTCTTTACCTTTTGTAACATCTCCAGACCAGTCCTTTCTCAGCTCTTTAAAGTGTTAGCTCATTCCCTCAACTTTCTCTTCTTGACTCTTCTTCCTCTCATTTTTTTGGCCCCTGAAAGGCTATCTTGCTTTGTAGTCAGAGCAACCTGTGTCAATGTCTCCACTCTCTATGCAACTCTGGCCATGTTTGCTCATCTGTAAGACGGAGGTAGTAATACCAGCTGGGGTGAGAAAAATCACACGTCGCCACAAATGTGAAGCAGTGAGCACTTCGGATCCCTACACTACGGAGCTCAGGAACCCGTGACACACCACACACACTGTGGTCTCAGCGCACAGACCCACTCTGCAAACTCACGACTTCATGGGTGTTTATGTGATTAGAGCTCAGAGTGAAAAGGCTTCTAGAACAGCGACCTGCTCATTATTTTACTGGGGATGGTCCCATTCAAGAAGTACTTGGAAACCTTGAAAGTACCAAAGACATACTGTTAGGTGAGGTCATAATTGTGATCCAGGAAAGCAGGTGCCAAGGAACAAATTATGATGCCAGGAGCACAGCTGGACTTCCCGGCAGGTTCAAATGGAAAGATAAAAACCCACCTTCATCAAACAAGTCCTGGTTCAAACTTAGAGATCTTTAGGGATTACCTAGTATGGTAGGAAAAGTCGGGAAAGATGAAAAAAAAAATCCGTATTTAAATGTATACCTGATCACTTCCATATTTAATGGATAAACTATAGATTTAGTTTTAGAGTTCCTCCTCTTTTGCTGTGGAGAACTGGTCCCCCGATGACAAACTTTGTATATAAAAACCAACGACAGCCCTAGCCAGTTTGGCTCAGTGGATACAGCATTGGCCTGCGGACTCAAGGGTCCCAGAATAGATTCCCGTCAAGGGCATGTACCTTGGTTGCGGGCACATCCCCAGTAGGGAGTATGCAGGAGGCAGCTGATGGATGTTTCTCTCTCATTGATGTTTCTAACTCTCTATCCCTCTCCCTTCCTCTCTGTAAAAAATCAATAAAATATATTTAAAAACAAAACAAAACAAAACCAACGACACAAAATAACCTCCTGGTTAACAGGCACTACATTTTTCAAGCTACTAGCGACCGCTGTTGCTGAATAGCCTGATCTTATCCCAGTCAATGTAAAAGACGGAAAGATCTCTGCCATAAAGCTGTCAATTTAAAGACTCCGCCCCGCCAGTGTGGCTCAGCGGTTGAGCGTGGACATGAACCAGGAGGGTGCTGGTTCCATTCCTAGTCGGGGCACATACCTGGGTTTTGGAGCAGAGCCCCCAGTGGGGGGCGTGCAGGAGGCAGCTGATCCCTGCTACTCTCTGGATGTTTCTCCCTCTCCCCTTTCCCTTCCTCTGTCTCTCAAATCAATAAAAACATATTTAAAAGAATGAAATAAAAGCACCATTAAGAAAATAATTTGGACTTTGGTTAGTGTCACACGAGCATAATATCAGCGGGTGGATTAACACAATGTGGGGTGGGTGGGGGTTCGATTCATTTAAGCTTGCCGTCCTCCAGGCGCGCATGAGGTCTGGGAGGGAGACGGGTGCTTTCCGGCTGAAACGTGATTGCTAGGAATTCTTGGGGGGCTGGGATGCGATGGGCGGCCTCGTCCCCAGGGCAGGCACAGCTCCGAGGTCCCGCCCGCTCAGGCAGCTCTAAGTGGCAGCCAAAGCCCCTATGCCTTGGAGGGAAATCTCAAAGCTGCAAGTACTGGAAAGGCTCACCAGCTTGAAGAATGTGGACGGAACCGAGCGAGAGAGGGGGGCTGGGGGCCCACGGCGAGGGGCGCGGGATCTCTCTCGTCCTTTGAAAGCTCTGACAGGAGCGACGCTGACACCTACTATGTGCCAGGCCTGCAACAGCCCTGCTGCGAGCGTGCTACGGGTGCGACAGGCTCTGCTGAACAAGTCCACGGGGACCGTTCCATTTGTCCTGTTTTCTGCAGGGCGTGGGCTTCCCTCTCCTGTCCCCCCCCCCGCCCCCGTCCTTGAAGATAGCCAAGGCCGACCCCCCGCAGCCTAGGCTACACCAGGTGCAGGGAAAGCAGCTCAGGTGTCTGCACCGGCTCCACCGCACCGCCAACAGGGCCTCAGATCAACAGGCTGCGCGACTCAGGGTCGCAAACCGGAAAACTCAAGGCGTCCGGGCTCCCAGTCCCCTTTCCAGAGCCCTTGACAATCGTGGGTAACCGTGCGGGTGCCCGATTTCTCCGCGGACACTTACCCGACCCCACGATCGGCCTCCGCCCCCAAAGACCTGATGGGAACCAGAATCACCGCCGAATAGGGAGCGCAACGCACTCTCGCGTCTGCGCATGCGCCGTGCTTCAGCCGAGGCTCCCAGCCGCCTTCTTACCAACTGCGCATGCGGAAAGTCGAGGCCTCTTCCCGGTAAAGCTGCCAGAGAACCAATCAGACGAGAGGGCTTGACAATGACCACGCCCCGCACCAGTTCCCAGGCGTTCGACCTCGGTCTCCCGCGCGAGCTGAGGGGAGGGAAGGGGGAGTTCGCGGCGCGCGCAGCTGCTCAGTGTCTCCGCCCCTTCTCGAGCGGCCAATCGCCGGCCAGGCGCCGGGCGCGCGCACGCTCCCTGAAGTTTAACGGTCGCGAGAGGCCGCTCGCCCAACGCTGAATTGAATCGGCGGCCAGGTAAGCGGTCGCCCGCCTGCAGGGAGCTGCCGGTCTCGGGGGACAGGAGGGACGAGACTTAGAAGACACGGCCTTAGAGGAGCCCTGAGCGTGCTGACGGCCTAGAGGGCCAGGGAGACGACGGCCACACGCCGCAGCTCTCCCCCAGCCCTCGGGCGTGTGGGGGCTTTGCCCGCGGCCGGGCGCCCATTCTAGCGTCGGTGCCCTTGAGTGACACCCGCGCGGCCCAATGGCAGAGCGCCTCTCCCCGAGGGGCGGGGGGCTTGGGGAATTCCTCGTTTCCTTCGTTGACTTGGGGAATCGCGGCCGCATTTGATGGGACGACAGCCTTGCGTTCGGGCGATTGCGTGCGTCCTCCCTCGCCTTCTCACGTGGACCCGAGAGCCCGCACCAGCCTTTGGGGTCCGGGTACCCGACCTCTGCAATCCCCCCTTCCTTCCCCCCTTGGGCTCCCAGCAAAGCAAAACTGCACGTTAACTTTTATAGCAGCATCAGGCCCCCATCAGCCGTTCGCTTCTCCCCCAACTCTTTTTCTTTTGTTAGGGGTCGGGAGAAACCAAAAGCATGGTATTTTGTTGCTGTGAAATATAAAATGGTCTCTGTACTATTTATTCTCTATGACGTTTTCTTAAAAAATTTTTGCATTGTATATCAGGGTACCCCCCTCCTCCCCCCTTTAACCTTCACCCCTCACCCCGCGGGTGGCGAAGCATCGTCACATTTAAAGTGGTTTTCCGTCTGGATCTCCTGCATCCGGATGATCTCGGCCGGGGAGGAAGAGATGGGCTGCGGGTCCTCATCCCCAGGGAGCTTGTGGTTCTTTGTGGTGGAAGAGCGAGGTGATGTGCTTCCGGGCGTTTTGGTTGCCAGTTGGGAGGCGCAGCCCCTGGCGTTTTCAATACCCCATTTGTCGGCGGCGATGGGCCGAAGCCACTGGGGAGAAATCCATTGGGTTCGGCCCGGTGAACCTTGGCCTCCACACCTGTCCCTGAAGGACGCGGTTCCCTTCGTGAGATGACGCGGTTGAGGTTGTGCTTTGTGAAAACCAGGCCCTGGGAAGTGGGAGCCTAGAGGAACCGGAACACTAGATCACTTTTCTCGGTCTCACTCCCTAAACTTCACATTTTGTGAGCAGCAAGGTTTTCTTTTTGTCTTGTGTGTGTTTTTAAAATACGTGAATTTCCTAAGAAGGAGGCATATTGTTTGACTCTGTATACCTAGTGTCAGTTCAGTTTTAGTTGATCTGGCAAATAGTTTATTTTTAAAGAAGTAATGCATATACAGTGTACAAAAGGCCGTGGAGTGCAAAATGCATTCCTTCCACCCCACCTTCCAGCCGGTGGCAAACAACCATGGTGAACGGCTTAATCGGCTGTTTTTAAGACCAACTTAAATACTGAGTTCTTTGTCATCTACTCACTGTGTAAATCAATAAGCATGAATGCTTTGTAGAATTTATTAAGCAAATGGACATGTAAGTTGTTACCTAGTAGCATTGTGTCTAGAACCTTGATTATTAGACACATACAGTTCTGAAATCTTACCTGTAAAAGATGATGCTATTTTGCAGATCCACCCCTATTGTATATTTTTGTTGAGATATAATTCACATACCATAAAGTTCATTCTTTTAAAGTATACAGTTCATTGGGTTTTAGTATATTCATAGAGTTGTGCAACTATCACCACTATGTAATTCCAGAACTTTTCATTGCCCCCAAAAGACACCCATACCTGTTTAGGTCACTCTCATTCTCCCCTTTCCTCACCTGGCAAACATTCATCTACTTTCTGTCTCTGTAGATTTGACTATTCTAGATATTTTGTATAAATGGGATCATACAATATGTGGTCTTTTACTGAGCTTCCTATAATGTTTTCATGGTTCACATTGTAGGATGTTCATCCACATTGTAGCATATCTCAGTACTTCATTCCTTTTATTAGTACTTCATTCCTTTTTATGGCTGAAAAGATTCCTTTATACCACCACATTCATTTATGCATTCATCACTTGATGGGTATTTGGGTTGTTTCTGCATTTTGGCTATTGGAAATGATGTTGCTCTCCGTAATGTAGACCTGTATAAAAGGATCACAGTTGCCAAAGTTACGAAGAGATAGTTGCTAGGTTTAGTGGCTTTTTAGTAGTATTTTTCCCCCCATTCATTTTCAGAGTCTTGGGAACTTAGGATATCTCACAGTTCTGAATGTTAGCAACTGAAAATGCCTGTAGACGATGAAGCATCTGAAGATGACCCGGATTCAGTTTCTTCAGACAGTGAAAGAACCTGCACTTTCAAATGAGAGAGCATAACAATTTCTGTCCACTATGGAAGATGCTGACTTGGTGAAATCCTTACAAAAAACCTCATCTTCTGTAGAATCTGATATAAAAAATTCTCCCTACTCTCTTGGACTGAACTTAAGTACTAATAGGTAAGAATGGGATAGATTTTTAAAAAGTGTATTAACAAATAAAAATAAATTTATTTGCATAGATTACCAATTTATCCAAATAGTGTCATAGTTACTGATTTGCACTAAAAAATAAAACAAAATTATGATCAGGAATTGTTCAGGGACAGATAAGAATAGTTTTAGAGCTTCCATGATTTTATTTCTGCCAGAGGTATGTACTTTTGCATGGGGAACTGTGAGAAAGAACTTGTTTTTGCTAGTTGCAGTGGTCTTTATACCTTTTTTTGGTTTTCAGTAAATTACAAGAACATCATTAAAATTTAGTTGCCTAAATATTATTTCAGTTTAAAAAAAATTGATTTCAGAGAGGAAGGAAGAGGGAGAGAGAGAGATAGAAACATCAATGATGAGAGAGAATCATTGATCGACGACTGCCTTCTGCATGACCCACACTGGGAATCAAGCCCTCAACCCAGGCATGTGCCCTGACCAGGAATCCAACCATGACCTCCTGGTTTATAGGTTGATGCTCAAACCATTGAGCCATGCCGGCTGGGCAATTTCTACATTTTTAAGATAACATGATCAATAATGTTTAATATTGCAGAAATAGCTCACCAATCTGGAAGAAGCAATTAAAGTTGAATACTAGGAAGTAAGAAAAAAACAAAAAACACCTCATACCAAGCCGACAAAATAGGTTCCGCCAAACAATGCATTTTATTTTTAAAACGATCTCGTTTGGTTTGTTCTGATCAGAGCCTGTTCACTCTGATTGTGTACATAGTCTGACAAGCTTGATTACTTAGTTTCTAAATTTACAGTAGCTGAAAACCAGGAAAGAGGCAGGGGCTGTTAGAGGAGGTCAGCTATAAAAAGCAGGCACAATGAAGTGTAAGAGGCAGTCTGGTGCCTGCTGTTAAAGGGGCAAATGCCTTTACACACAATAGGAGGAAGCATAAATTAAAGGAGGGCACAGGAAACAAACCAGGCGTGGGAGGTGGTCCAGAGAGATGTCTGCCTGATAATCTCGACCCACTGCCAAAAGCTGGCCCTGCACTAGTTTCCTGTGCCGCCGGGCCCCTGGGAAGCCCACTTCCAGAACCTAGTGTTGTATTTGCTGCAGGAGCCAACCTACATGTGCCTTTCTAGTGAAAATTACGCAGCTGAGCTTGCCTCTCTTTTCACTGCGACTGGAGCTAAACTGGCCAAATTCAAATTGGGTTAATATAAATCCCTGGTGGACAACAGATTCTGTGCTTCTATCCTTCGAATTTTTATTAATATTTTCTCTGCTTCTAATTCTGTTTTGCTGTTATTTTCATTAGTGTCCTCTCTCTCACACATTCTTAGTGAAACAAAGCAGAGTGCCGCCGGAGAAATGAAATGGCCTTTCAGCGATTGGAATTTAAATAAATGTTAATGTCGTAATTATGCTTTTTGTGTTTGTATGAAACAAATCTGAAATGAATTCATCTCCAGTTTGGAAAGGCAGTCCTCCTGGAGAGAATCAGTGGTATTTTGCACACTGAATAGGCTAAATTCGTCCTGAATATTTGGTGCTAATTTGCTTGGCACAACTTTTATTCAGAGATGTGCAAAGATAAGCATCAGCTTATCACGCCAAATTAGAGGGATCCAGTGAACAAGACTCCACTGTCATTCTGGACAACGGGGGGTTTGGGGGGAGAATTTCATTACAATAAGGGGCTGTTCTTAAAGGGGCAAGCAGTCCTCTGCAATAATTTAGATCAGAGGGGCTGGAGTGGGGCTGGAGGTGTTGCTTATTATTGTTTAGCAGAAACTTTTGTTTTCTGCTGGAACTTCCGAGTATCCTCTCACTTTTGAAACAGGCCTTTCTGTTGTGTTCTTTTAAAAAAATTAAATGCTGTCTGTCTTTTTACTGCTATTTTTCTTTCGTGGGCAAACTTGTGATCAGATTTGCAACAAATGAAGTGCCATTAAGAAGGATTAAATATCAGTGGTTTGTACTGCTCTGCTAAATCTTGAACTGCTGAATTATTCAACACTCTGGTAGAATGAGGAAAACCATTTGAATTATTTATGTTTCAACAGAAGTAGCCCCCACCTTAGTACAAATGGGGTATCCTCTTTCTCAGGGAAGACCAGACCGGCCGTAACTCAAGGCACAGGTGAAGCCCTCACCTCTTTCATGCAAGAGCTACAGCACAGCGGGAGGACTGACTCGGAGCTTTGGAAAAACTGCGAGGTATCTAGTTTTGTTTTGTTTTTTTGAATTTTAAAATAACTATA